TTCACCTTTGTAAACCGTTTGCATCCCACTTATGCATGAGCCAGATGGTGCTTTTCTTTGTTTTTAAGAGATTAAAAATGGGAGAGGAGGAAAACAAGGAGGAGTTAATCCCAGTTCTGGAATACACACTGGGAAGCACACACACACACACACACACACACCCAACTCTGTGCTCAGATTCCCCAGTTATCTGCATTTAGCTGTGCTAGGTGTGAACAGTGAGCAAATGCCTAGACCCGACAGATTTAAGTAAATACAGGGCAGCAGAGAGCTGCGAACCTGTCAAATCACATCAGTTTTCAGATAGAATCCTTCAGAGTGTTCCCAGAATATGATAAATTACTGCATTCTCTCAGGGCTTCAGCTGCTATGTACTCAACAATATGTTATATAAATCACCTGAAACTGAACTTAGCTCTAGGATTCACCAGATAGAATGTAAGGACATACCTGTTGCCACCACGGAGGGAAGACATGCACAGGATGCCTGGAAGCTCTACTGATTTCAGGTTGGAGCCCAGGACAGATAGGGTCTGAAGGCAATCAATTTAAAAGCACCAAGCTGGTCAGGGCTGTAAGTACATTGGGGCCTAGGGGAGGAATCATTCTACTTGATGATGATCCAGCTAGATTCCCCACATTGCATTCAGTTAATTACATTTTTAAGGCATCTAAGAATAGTTATGTATAATATCCTAATGTGAGACCATCATGGCAGAGTAAGTGCATAATGATCCAGCCTGTGAGTCAGGAAGACATTGGTCCATGTCTCAACTCTGCCACACCCTGGCTATGTGACCTCTGGCAAGTTATTTCTCTCTGGGTGCCCTAGACAAGTTTCTAAGACTTTAAACTGATGATCTGCATTCAGAGATTTAGAGATCTAAAAGAGAAAGAGACCAATTCCTTCATTTTCTAGATGATGAAATATTTTGGTAGTATCCAACTCTTTGTGAACCAATTTGGGGTTTTCTTGGCAAAGACACTGAAGTGATTTGCTATTTCCTTCTCTAGACCTTTTGCAGATGAGGAACTGAGGAAAACAGGGTTAAGTGACTTACCCAAAGTCACAGACCATTCATATGTAGGTTGCTGCATCTAGGGCAGTTCCAACATTCCAGCTTTATTAGAAAGGAAAGAGTCTAGCTCCTATATGAACTGAGAGTTGGGATTCAATAATAAAACTTCCTGGAACATCTTGGTGGGGTTCCCTTTCAGCCTCTGCTATTAGAAAATTAAGGAACACTGGAGATTCTAAGAGATTTGGGGAAGGGGACTAGTGATCAGGAATCCTAGGCATGGCTTTACTACCAATTTATAATATGCTTGGAGAAGGCTACATCATCTGTCGGATAGCTTCAAAAGTCCCTCCCAGATTGAAATCTATGATGCTATAAACTTGGATTTTTCACATGAACATTCCTTTTTTACATGAAAAGATGCAGGCACATGTTTCAAAGAGTCTTTTTAGGGGAACCAATGAGTTTTTGTGAAGCCATTCTCATTTTCTCTCTCCATCCCCTTGTGACAAATGACACATCACTTGAGAGAGTTAGGTTCATAAATTACACCTACTCAAAGCCATGAACATGAAACCAGAGATGCCAGGGATGTAGCCAGTCTTCCCTTCAGGAGTCACAGAGCTGGAAGAGACCTTAGAGGTCATACAGTCTGATCCTCTAATTTGATTTAGGAGGCAATGTGAAGTGGAAAGAACATTGAATCTAGAATGCGGAACTCAAGAGTAGTAGAACCTGAGTTAAAAATCCCAGTTCTGCTACTTCTCTGTGTGACTTTGGTCAAGTCACTTAATATCTCTAGGCCTTGGTTTTTACATCTGTACAGTGGAGGAGTTGGACTAGATGACCTCTGAAGTTCTTTCAGATCTTTAGCTATGATCCTTGAATCTACCTTCTATTTCAATGTGCTCTATAAACTGCCTTGGGGAACAGATCAATTAGGATAAGGCTACCCAACCTCTACAATGGGGATTACAACATCTATATCATTGTCTTGCACTAGGTGAGTTGTTGTTCAGTCATTTCAGTCATGTCTGACATTTTTTGAGCCCACTTGGGGTTTTCTTGGCAAAGATACTGGAGTGGTTTGCCATTTCCTTCATTTTACAGATGAGGAAACTGAGGCAAACAGGGTTAAGTAACTTGCCCAGGGTCACACAGCTAGTAAGTGTCAACCCAGGTCTTCATGCCTCCAGGTCCCTGTGCCTTATCTGTTTCACCACATAGCTGCCCTATACTCAATGTGTACTTAATGTAATACTAGTTGAATTGTACTGAATAGGTACTTAAGGTAATAGTAGTTGAATGATTAACAATCAATTGATTAGCAATCCATACTTTCTCACTGGGAGAAGAGAGCTGTTGAGCTCTAAAGCACTGGGACAGAAGGAGGTGAAAAGAGCTGTGCAGACAGGGAGCAGAACAATTTGGCCAGTGACCAATGCTAATTAAAAATAAAATAAAAATAAGGAAGAATCAAGGCCAATATTTTTCTTGTAAGCTAATCGTGATGCCCACTTTCCACTTGTTCTGGTGAAAAACATTTTCCCCAGATGCTCCACTGGACTCAGGAGCCAGTGCACATGGTGAACAGACCTGATTAACACAGGCAACCCATTCTCTGTCCTGCCATAGAAGCCTTGGGTAGGCCAAGAGCTAAGCCATCCTTCTGCCTCCATCAACACCAACATAAATCTAAGCGCAGGCCAAAGAAACCCATTACACAAAGTACAGAAGGCAATTAAATGGCGCCAGAGTCAGCTTGATGCAAGGAATCCAAATGGGCCCATGACCCAAGAAACCCTCAGTAACTCCTGCATCCAGATGCTTCTCCAGGAAATTACTGTAAAATGGATAGAGATGCTGATAAGAAGATACCACTCTCACTGGTCATTTCCTGGAAGACTTTCTCCTGTTCTTAGCCTGTGGGAGTTGCTATTGCTTTATATCTTAGTTTTGTTTTGTTTCAATATCTGGGTCTTATCAGCAGTTGGGAGACACAAGAGAGCAAGGGATTTACCCAATATGCCTTAGCTATACCTTTCTCCTTGTGGCCACAGGCTCATGCTCTAAAACTGGAAAGGAATTCAAAGGCTATCTATTCCAACCATGCCATTTCACAGATGAAGAAACTGTGGGTTAGGAAGATTAAGAAAATTGTCCAAGGTCATACAGGATTTGAACACGGACCCTCTGATCATAGAGCCATTGTTCTTTCTACTGTGACATACGACCAGGTATTCTACAGTAGCTGTAATGTCAATGCTTTGGCTCCTGTCCTTGGGTTTGCTTGCTGTCTCTCACTCTAATCATGAAGGGCATTCTCATGTCTATTTTCTTAGCTCCAGGCTACTTCTCACATCAAATCTCTTGTGGAACTATCATTGGACATTAGGTCATCTCCCTTCTGGTGGCACTATCAGGGATTACAGACTGAGCCAGATGGAGGGAACCAGCATCAATCACATACCCCTTGTAGTCTTGGGACAGGAACACAAAAATGCATCAGGGAATTTTTGTGTTAGCTACACACAGTGCAATCACCCACACCCCCACGCAGAAGGTGAAACCAGTGATCCCCATCTCATAAAACTCTAAACTACTCCTCCCAACACACTCCTTATGTTTCCATTTCATCTACCCCCCCTTTCCCAATAAACACATATACCCAATATGCAAAATCACTAAATTAAACCACAGAAGCACAAGATGCTGGAGCAGGAAAGAGCCTTAGGGATCATATAGGCCAACCTCCTCATTTTAAAGGAAAAGAAAAACAAAAACAAAAAAATCTAACTCTCTGAGAGATGAAGGAACTTGTCCGGGGTCACACAGCCAGTAGGTCCCAGGCTGGAATCTGAATCCGGGTTTTTTTTATTCCAAGTCCAATATTGTCTGGGCTACCCAGATGTATATCTGTCTGTGGCAGTAGTTATCTCCAAAAAATTTTTTAGCTATCTCATCTGATTTCCTGTTACCAACCTCTTTCCACTTTTCTGAAGTAGTGTGTAAATCCTTTCCTTTCACAGCAAAAATGACCTTTTCAGATTTAACCAAATGAATGTCATAAAGTCTCAATGACTTTTTCAGCAAAGGATCATGAAAGCCCTGTGAAAGTCATCTATGAGGACTGAGAAAAATGAATCACTACATAGAAGAAAAAGGAGGAGGAGGAGGAGGAGGAGGAGAAGGAGAAGAAGAAAGAAGAAGAAGAAGAAGAAGAAGAAGAAGAAGAAGAAGAAGAAGAAGAAGAAGAAGAAGAAGAAGAAGAAGAAGGCTTGCCCCCAATTGTAGTACAAAAAATGTTTCCCAAAGTCTAACCTTCGCTCTTCTCCATAGTAAATAACCAACTGGCAAACAGTCTCTTGGTTATCTTTCCTCTCAACTGTATGTATTAAACTCTCTTTAATTCCTCCTATCAGTCACGTTCTGTTAGTCTGTAATCATCCTTGTTACATTCCTTTGCTTTTTGGTGTTGTCAATATATTCTTTGGAGATGGAATGAAGTCCTACCCTTGGGAACAGATCCTTTTAGAGCCAGTTTATATCAGAGACAGGGGTGGGCACATATGAGAAACAGTGCCAGTATAGAGTAAATCTGTGTGTGTGTGTGTGTGTGTGTGTGCGCTTGTGCATGCATGAAGGGATAAGCATGAGATGCAATTAGGGGGAAGGAACATGAGCTGTTGCCAGTCTGGGGCTAAGGATGTAATGAGAGAAAGTGTCCATGAGAGAATATGAAGGTGTACAAGTAAACAAGTTTTAACAGAGATTAAATTGGCCAAATTAATAAGGAATATCAATGTGAATTTACCTGTGGGTATGGTTGTGTATGTTACAAACACATCAAAGTGACAGAGGGAGAGAACACATGACAAAGACAGATATGCACAGCGATGAATAGCACTTCACTGATTACATCACTCTAGAGCTTGCTGAGTTACCCTCTTGCTGGTTCCCTACTAAGGAAAGCTGCCTTACCCTGTAGTAGTCAGTGCTATAGACATCTCTTGACATCCCAAAATCTCCGATCTTCACCAATAGGTTGGCTCCGACTAAACAATTCCTGGTGGCCAGATCCCGGTGGACAAAATGCTGTGAGGCAAGGTATACCATGCCAGAGGCAATCTGGCTGGCAATGTGTAGCATCTGGGATAGACCCAGTTCTCCTTTGGCCTGGCGAGGTTGCCCATCTACCAAGATCATAGCATCTGGACCATGAGCCCTATAAGAAATAGAGAAAAAGAGAAGGAATAGAAAGAATGCATGAAGGGCATAAAAAAAGGCAACCTAAATTCTCCAGTCTTTGGATTGTCTCTTTGAGATGGTAAAAGAAAATTCCCTTTCAACCTATTTGTTCTCCAAGTCTTCCATTATAGGTCAGTTCAAGAGAAAACCTATACAAAGATCATCTGCTTGGCTTCTGTCTTTTGACTCATTATGACTAAACTAACTCCCAAGAATCAATTCCCTGCTTCTTGTAGTATTTCACCAATGGCTTAGGAGAGTTACCAGTACTTTCCAAACTTAGAACATGGAGATCTCCTACTATTCTAATACAAGGCTTAGAGATAGGGAGCCTTGAGGAACAGGGAAAACAGACAGGATAGAGTTGGTGAATCTAAGGAAAAGCGTTGAGCTTGGCCCAACATTCCCCACTATCAACCCAGTCCAGGACTTCCTATTATAATGCCTGGCCCCTGTCAAACTGGTCACTTTATTGTTCATTCTTTTCTCCATGAGGCCAATGAGCAGTAATAAAATCCAGGGACTTTATTTATGAAGCTGTAGGCTGGAAGCCCCTGTGCAGAGCAAACCTTCAGGCCACTTTACTGCTTCTCCAATATCTATTGAAAGGCATCATTAAACTCAGACAAATTTATTTTATTGTCTTATGCTGTCTTGACCCTCCCCATTCCACTGAAAGCTTGGGAAAGAGTTGATGTCAGCAGAAAATCACAACTCTTCCTTCCCCATCCTCACTGCAAATAGTTGTGGAGACCAGAGGGTCATCTTCACTTTGAACACACAGTATACACAAGTGTGCCCTACTTTCATCAAGTCCCCACCTTCCATTGAGATCTACAAGGACTAGATTGATAAATCATGCATGAAATCATATCATTTTAGTTTTGGGAAAAGTGTTAGATGGTAAACATTTACTATTGTTATTATTATTATTATTATTATTATTATTATTATTATTATTATTTAGTTTAGTAGGATTGCTGTTGTTGTTGTTAACATTAATATTGCATAAGGAAACAGTTGGCTTTCTCCAGAGAAGGGTCAGGGTATTTCAGCCTGAATGACACTAGGATTTTCGGGAAGTCAGGAATAACAGAGCTTTTCTTCCCTGATGGATGTAAAATGAGAGGAGAGACTAATGAAGCTGAGTTTGAAACCTACCCAGGCCTTTAAGGCAAAAGTCCCAAATGTTGGAAAGGCAACATTGGAAAACTAGTCCTCACTGATTCTGAGAACAGGTTGTGCTCTCATTAATATTGTACATTATTGCTTCCCAGACACATCTCTTTAGCAACAGAAATAACACACATTTAGAACTTGGTTATCTGTCAGTTTCCTTGGAGCCTATCACCAGATTCAAAAAGGGGTTCTTACACTAAGACATCATTATTTCCTTCTATTTTGCTTTTCTCTAACCACTTTCTCCTAAGCAATATTGATCACTTTAAAGAGAAGGAGGAGACAACCTATGGCATGGATGACATTTCCTCCCCTATTTATCTCTTCCCTTCTACCTCTTTTTCCCTATTCTTCCTTTTCTCCTACTTCATTTCTTACTCTCTCTTTTGCCCTCCTCCCTAGTTTTAGGCATGTTAACAGCCATGGCAGAGCCCATGGCCAGCCTTGACAGAGATATAAAGTGCATCAAAGATTGTTGAGCTCCCTTACAGACAGGATGTGGTTGAAAATGGAACACATTTCTTTTACCCTGGGAAAATGTGAGCAGAGACGAGTCTTGTCTCAGTCAGACAGAAGTAATGCCTGAATTCAAATGTACTCCTAGCTCAATATCCTAAATATCAGGGGAAGATGTTCCTCTATGAAACAAAAAGATCAAAAGACTTTCAGCCACAGAAAATCCTAAGGAGTTATATCAAAAGAAGTCAGATCAATACTTTAAATCCTCCCCACTTTCCCCTATGACCAATAGGTAGCCCAAATTATAATGTCAAGTCCAAAGATTTTTCAATTCCATCAACCCATGACCATTTCCCCCATTATCTATTATATTTCCAGGCTTTTATGCCTCCTGAATGTGAATTTTCTTCTGGGTAATGCCCATGGATGACACCTCAAGTCGAGATACACAACGTAGTTACTTCAAGCCAAAATGCATTATACTTTGCTGATGCATTGATTAAAGGCTTCTACAAACCTTGTTCTCTCAGAAGCTTGATCTCTAATTCAAAATTTGTTTAAACAAAGACTCTAGATGGGGATTGGGGCAACAAGGCAGGTTCCAAGTTGGGGATACTCAGCTTCTTCCATTGGAAAGCATGTGCTTGTTCAGAAGGGCAAGAAAATGGACAGATACTGATTTCTATATATACTAGTGCAAGCCAATAAGAACTAAGATAAACAGTGCCACATGCTGATGGCTGCATCTGTCCTCTGTAACTGCTCTCAGATATACATATCGCACTAGAGCTAGAACATTTAGAGGTGGGAAGAAAAGAAAAGAGAGCCATATTGGGGTAAAGAAAAGGAACTGTGATACTGAGTATCAAATTTCACTTCCACATGGTGATTTGGCATATCTCCCCTTTTTAGGGAAGAAAATCTCACCTCTTCAGCTTCTAATTGCCCTAAGGTCTGACACTATACCGAACAGGAAACTCTGAGAACTTAAAATAGCTAGGTGTTCCCCATTCTGGGCCCTGGTGGATCCCTTCTTATATGATTTATTTACCTTATTTTAAAGTAAAAGGTCAAGGAAGTCTAAACTAATTCAAATAGTCCTTCTTCTTATGATCCTTTTTCCATGATTAGTTTGTCACTTTAAAATTTTCACTCACCATCAAATAATCCTATGGAGTAGGGTAGTGATAGTAGAAGGAAGAGGAAGAAGGGAGGAATTTTTATCCCCATTTTGCAGATGGGAACATTGAGACAACAATAACAACAACTTCCCCTCCAAAAAAAAAAACCGGATTGGTCAAGGTCAAGAAATGAAGCCAGAATATTCTAATTTCAAGGCCCTGGCTCTTTACTGGATACTGTGAGAAATACTGCTAATCATCATAATAATAACAATAACAATAATAACAATAATTTTTTTTTTTACCATTTTGAGGCTCTTTCTTTTGGTCCCTTCTTGGAATCAGGGAATAGAATGAAAAGTGAGAACAATGATTACTCTTAACTTCCCCAATTATTTTCTGGATTTAGACAGAAATTTGGGACAGGTCTTGGATGACCTTTCCAGAGTGATAACACATCACTGCCAATTGGAGGTAGCCTTGGAAAAAGATTTGTTTTGTCTCCCATTTCCTATAACCTGGTGTTCTGGGTCAAGATTCTGGGCCCATTATGAGGTCAGAGCCCAGATGGCCCACCCTCCCAGAATATGATCCTAATTTGGCTCTTCCTTACCTGAGGAATTTGTTGAGGTCTCCATGTTTCATGTACTCAAAGACCATGATGAGAGGATCTCCATCTCCACATACGCCATAGAATTTGACAATGTGTTCATGCTGTAGGTTGGTGAGTAGTTCTGCCTCTCGCTGGAAATCCTTACGTGCAGCGAGGGTAGGGTCTTTCAAGGCCTACATGGTAGGACACAGATTATAAACTACTAGAAACCACAGCTTATGTCTGTTTTGTATGCTGAAGAGTATCCATCACAGTACCATTAACTCATAGACCCTAAAGAAATAACACATACTGAGATATTGACTAAGAAAGGTAGGGCTCAAATCACAATGACAAGGTTTCTAGTCTTCCCCCTTTGCCATCATGACCATTTGTCATTTTTAATGCCAGATTTCAAACTATCCACTTATTGAATGCTTCCCTCCTCCCAAAGATACACCAAGGTACCAGTTCTCATTTGACAGGGAAACAAATTGAGACAAAACACAATTACCTATGGACACACAACCAATAGGAGGTCTAGGAACAGAACCTAGATCTCTCATTTGCAAAGGCTACATCCATTAGAATAACTTTATAGGTTAGTCTGTAGATTAGTATGTAGGAAATGAGATATGAAATGGATCACCTATCTTGAACTACAGGAGACCTCAGGAGCCTCCTAATCCAAACCCTGAATTTTACAGATGTAGAAACTGAGGCCCATAGAGGTTAAGTGACTTTGAATCCAGGCCCTCTGAATCCAGAGACAAAGGTCTTTTCATTATATCAAATCCTCTGCTTTGGCCTTTCATATGTCATATTTTTAGGCCCACAGGGATCTACAGAGGAACATTAACACCGTTAATGTTTGTTTCCTATTTCCTACATCCGATGAAGACCCTTATGTTCTCTTGGCCTTTCAAGCAGGTCAGTAGGAATCTAAGAACACGGATAAATGTTGATGTGGGGAGTGGGAAGGGAATGAGGATGAAAAAAAAATACTAGAAAAAGGAAGTGGATCCACCACAAAATTTTAGGCTGGTGAAAACTGGGGCAACATGGAGATTTCTCTATTTTTCATCATTCTGCTTGATTAAAATGGACCTTAATAGAATCACAGAATTGTCAAGCTACAATGTACTTTACTTTCCATCTAATCCACTGCCTCATTTTACAGCTGAAGCAAATGAAGCCAAAGGGTTGGCATGACTCATTGAAGGTCACACAATGAACTAATGGCAGATGAGTGTATTTCCTCTGCTTTCATTGCACAGAGGGCCAGATTTTTTCAAGTAGGCAGAAGAGGCAAACGCCTATTGGGATGATTTGACAGAGGCTGACCAAAAATATCTTTTCCATCTCTTCTGTGTTAAGTGTCTGAAATTCCCGTACTGTTCCTTTGGGTAAAGGCCTGTTAAAATGTAATTGTTATCCGGTAGAGGTAACATACTAAATCATTTTCAGACATTCTTGCATTCAACAAATATTTGTTAAGCATACATTGGCTATATAGCCAATATTATTAAATACAGTACTAGCTTTATGCAAGTAGGCAGAATAGGCAACTGCCTATTGGGATGATTTGACAGATCTATATATCTTGTGTGCATTTGCATTTGTATACACATGTACTCACACATACACACATACATATTTGTATGTTTATATGTATGTATGTGTATACCTATATGTAGATGTAGATGCACACAGACACATTTTTTTTACCAGACCTTCTGATCTCATTGGTATAGGGAATGCCTGGTAAGGAACTCCTATCAATACAGAACATCAAATGCTCTTCAAGTCATATAGGCTCATGATGAAGAATGCTATCCACTTCTAGAGAAAGGACTAATAGAGTCTGAATGCAGATCAAAGAATACTATTTTCACTTTCTTTATTTCTTGTGGGTTTGCTGTCTTTGTTCCTTTCACAACATGACAAATATGGAAATGTTTTATATGATTGTACGTGTATAACCTATATCAAATTGGTTACCATCTCAAGGAGGGGGAGGAGGAGTGAGAGAATTTAGAACTCAAGATCTTAAAAAATGAATGTTTTTACATGTAATTGGGAAAAAGTAAAGTATCATGAAAAAAAAAATTATAGACCTGGAGATTTGCTTGGACATAGAGGGTTTAAGCGATTTACCCAGAATCGCACAGCTAGCAGGTGTCAGATCGATAGTGCTACTTCTCTGAATCTCAGTACTATGCCACTTACATTTTAGCCATCATTTCCAGCTCTGAACTCAAATACCTACCCCTATGACCACAGGCTTCTGAATGGTGAATCCTATCATGCTTGGATCCAAGCCCACCATGCTACATCCTGACCATCTCCACACCATGTTACTTCATGCCTATTCTCTCCCCTTCCCTTTCTTACTCTACCCCTGAGAAAAGTAATTATATCACTGCTACCATTCCTAGTAAGTTAATTGCCCTATGACTCCCATCAACATTATCTCTATCTTCCTTGTCCACAACACTCCTCCATAACCTCACAACTCCTTGAGGGAAGGGACTATGTTGCTGTCTTGTATCCACATCCCCAGCACTCAGCACAGTGCCTGGCACATAGTAACCACTTAAAAATTCTTTTTCACTCATTTATCAAGATATGGATCTCAATATAGATAATGATATTGACATAAACACACTCACCCTAGGTGGAGGGGTAAGCATGGAGATTTATGTAGGTGTCTGATTTATTAGAGGGAAAAAAAACAGACTAAATGTCAGTTAACCAAAAGGCCTTTCCCTATCTCTTTAAATCATTCTTTTTCACAGTATGGACATCAATGGCAACAGTTGGTTATTTTCCACGCTGAATCTGGCTGGACAGCACCAGCCACCTCCCCTGAAGCTATTGCTGTGTTGCAGTTGACTATTTCTGAGTTTCTCTTGGGCTTACAAAACAAACATCTGGCTCTTTTTCTCTTTTTTGCTCAATATCAAGGTCATTTTAACATCAAAATGGGCTTTTTACTACCTAGGCTTGAAGCCTCAAATGTGTATGCTTCGAGGAACAGATAATTATAATCATAGTAGATTACATTACATTGCACCCTAAGACTTGCAAAGTACTTTCATTATTACTGCTAAAGAGGAGTTAACGGTTATAATTACGTTCATAGGTTTAGAGATTGAGGAACTCTAGGGGCCATGGAGACTAAATCTCTTATTTTCACATAAGGAAACTGAGACAGAGAGAATTTACATGATTTGCTCACATAGCAACTGTCTGAGTAGGATTCAGATTCAGATCTTTCTGACTCCATATCTGGTACCTATTACTATTCTAACTAACTACTAATAAGTAAGAGGGAACAAGTTGGGTTTGGGCTTTAAATAGTCCCATTTCCCTGAGAAATGTTGATACTGGGATGTAGGTGACTAGGAGAGGACAATGACTTTCTACCTGGGAATCTAAAATCAGAGCATAATCCTTTGGCTTAGGATGGCATTCAAGTTATTAAATCGACTTTTCTCCTTCTTTGTTCTTCTGCATGGCCATGGAAAAGAGATTATGAGAAAATGACCTTGAAGAATAATGATGATGATGATGATGATGATGATGATGATGATGATGATAAAGAGGGAAGAGGAGAAGAGGAAGAAGTAGAAGGATAAGGAGGAAGGGGGGAGGAAATAGAAGAAAAGCTCAAATGAGGTAGGTAGTACATTTATTCAATTGTATAGACAAGAAAACTGAGATTTAAGGATAATGATCTTATTAACATAGTGAATAAATGGTTAAATCAGGGTTTCTACTTTCAGGCTTAATGATTTTCCAACATACCACACTGCCTCTCAAATCACCTCATCTGAAATTTTGGAAGATTCTTTCACAAGTGACAACATTCTTGTTCTCACAGAACTACCAGATCTCATAATTTGAAGAGAATACTGAGGCCATATAACCTTATTTTCTACCTGACCAAGAGTTCCCTCTGTAATTCCACTCTCATTCCTACTCCCAGGAGCCATGCAGCCTTCATTTGAATACATCAAGTGAAAGTAAACCTACTCCCTCCAAAGTCAGCCCATGCTGTCTACTTTTAGATGGCTCTCTCCTTAGAATGGTTTCCCCCTCACAATATAAACCAAAATCTGCCTCTGCCATTTCTCTCCACTGCTCCTTGTTGTTCCTACCAGCTTAGGACAGTTGGTTGTTAAATTTTCAATGTGAACGTTTACACTTCTGGATCAGCAAAAAATATAAATCAGGGCTTGAGTCATTGTTTGGTTGACTGCTTAGTATTGATACAGAAAATGTTAATAATTCAGATTAAACTTAAAAGTCAGTGCATGTACATTTCCCCCCAAAGAACTGGTTATTAAACATTTACCAGTACACAACTGCCTCTAGGCAAACCAGCAGAGGGTTAGCTAGGTAATGAAGTAGAAAGAGCACCATCCCTGAAGTCAAGAAGACCTGATCAGGTTCATATGTGACCTCAGACACTTACTGTCTGTGTGTCCCCACCCCAATTGCCTCAAAAAAAAAAGGAAATAAGCAGAACAAATATAATCTCTAGTCCATCTGACAACCCTCCCTTCAAACGTTTGAAGAGAGTGCCTTCTACACTATCTCCACTTCCCTTTCTGCTTACTTTGGGAAGAAGAGGGAAAAGAAGTTGTTTCCTAACACTTTCTACACATCTATATTTAGGCTGATTTCATTTCATCCAATGCTAATTCATCTTGCCTTACAGATTAAGCAAAGGTATTTAGTTGGATGAAAAAATAAATTGTATTAGTGTTAAAAGTACATGTTCTTGGGCAGCTAGGTGGTGCAGAGGAAAGAGTACTGGCCCTGGAGTTAGGAGGACCTAAGTTCAAATCTGGCCTCCGACACATAACATTTATTAGCTGTGTGACTCTAGGCAATTCATTTAACCCCAATTGCCTCACACAAAAAGGGGGACATATACTTTTTATCAGTTAATAATTCTTTTGAGCCATTGTGTGTGTGTGTTTAAATGCTTCTTTCTGTTTTCCTTTCTTTGGTTGAGATGTGATTTTGCATGGGACAATGAATTTTAAGTTTTCTCAATACATGGATATGATGCTATTTTATCACCTCTCGACTACACAATTGCAACTGCCTCATTATGGGTCTCCCTTCCTCAAATTTCTCATCACTCCAGTCTATCCTACACATTGCTATAAAAATAATTTTC